AAGGATCAAACGGAGCTTCTAAAATCAGCTAAACGGTATCTCAAGAGTGATTATAAGGTACGTTGTCCATTATCTGCCCAATTGAATCCCGCCCTCTTTTGAATATGTGTGGACATGCGTGAGTAGGTTAGGCTGCCACTAATATCATGTGTGTTAAGGGAGAAATGTTTTCAGTGTTGGCTTTTTTTTACCAGGTACACGTTTCGAAAGAATCCAGCGTCCCGGACCACTGTCGGTCTTATGCCCTTAGCGACCCTAGTGATCCCGACTTCCAAGCCACTTGTACGCACAAGCACACTGACTACTGTGATCGATGTAACCAAGTTGAAGAGGTTTTTGGTAATATTGATGAAGCTTTGGCGCTTGTTTCTGAAGATAACAAGGACTTCAAGGAACAGTTGATCTTTAAAGTTGCGCAGGCAAAACGGAACATAAATGCATGGAAGGCGCACCTGCTACGTAACATAAACCAAGATGAAGCCCGCATTATAACAAGTGATTCTCTAGATGAAACGTCAGTGCTTCTAGTTCAAGACTGGGCTATGAAGTTTCTTCCAAGGAAGTATAGGGAAAGCCAGACCGACTGGTTTGGGAAGCGCGGATTGTCGTGGCATATAACTGTGGCGATGTACAAATCCGACAACGGTGAAATCCATTCCATGACGTTCGTCCATGTATTCCAATCTTGTAAACAAGACAACTGCACAACACTGTCAATCATGAAAGATGTGGTTCACAAGCTAAAAGAGGAGCTTCCTAAACTAGAAATCGTGTATTACAGGCAGGACAACGCGGGTTGTTACCATTGCTGTTCAACTATTGTAGGAGCGAGTATGATTGGCAAGGATGTTGGTGTCTCTGTACGTCGCATGGACTTTTCGGACCCGCAAGGGGGGAAGGGTTCATGTGACAGGAAAGCGGCGACTGTCAAGTCTCACATGAAAATCTTCTTGAACACTGGCAATAACATCGAAACTGGAGAAGAGATGGTAGCCGCAATGCAGTCGTCTGGGGGCATTCCTGGTGTTAAAGTTATCCTTGCAAGTACCGCTATAGCTGCAAAGCCCTTGAACGTCAAAATGGATGGTGTAAGCACTTTCTCTAACATCGAGTATGGGGAAGGTTATCTGAAAGTATGGAAAGCTTATGGTATTGGGCCTGGAAAGAAGCTGCCACTGAGTAAATTGGGTGAGCTGGATCAAGGGAGTACTATCGTTGATCTATCGACAGCTTGCCTAAAAAAGGATGCAGCGGTTCAGTCTGATGCACATTTCATTCCTTTAAATAAAAGTGTTCGTAGCTGTAAACAAAGTGCACCAAAGAAAACAACACAAGAAGAAGAAATCGAAGAATCTCACAACCTTTTTTCCTGTCCTGAAGAAGGCTGCATCAAGACCTACCAGCGCTACTCGGCCTTGCAACACCACCTCGACTGTGGTAAACATGAACGCAAGCTTGAACATGAGACATTGTGTGACCGCGCTGCCCATGGTTACGCAAATAGACTCCAGGGACTGACGTCAGGTGTACCGGAAATGTCATCAGCAGTGGAAAAGGCTCTTGAAGGCAGCACCACACAAAGTTTACCGATGGGTTGGGCCTTAAGATCAAACCAGGGACGGAAGAAGAAGCGATTCTCAGAAAAGCAGAAGAGTTTTCTGACGGACAGGTTTCTAATTGGAGAGGCAACAGGACGGAAAGAAGATGCGATGTCAGTGGCCAAGGCAATGATGACGGCGAAGGATGTTGATGGACACTGCCTATTTAACAGCACAGAATTTCTTACTAGCAAGCAAATTGCTGGCTTTTTCTCTAGACTAGCAGCCAAACGACAACTTCTGAGAGAAGATGACTCTGACGACGACGAAACTGATGACGATGAAACTGACGACGACATCGACCCTGCAGAAAATGAAGAATCCTTAAGCGAGCTGAAGAATAGAGTTCTTGAAGATGTTTCTCTAACTCATCCTATCTGCTTCGACCGTTACAACCTTTGCGACCTTACTAAAAAGTCGAAACTGTCAAACCTCTCAATTCCTGTGCTTCAAGACATTTGCAAAGAATTTGATATTCCTGCGTCAGACATAACAAAGAAAAGAAAGGCTCCATATATAGAAAGAATCTTTGGCTTCATTGACGAAAACTGCACGTGCATTGGTTAACTGCAATAATAGTTAATATATTTTATAGATCGTTGTATAATATTATCAATTTTTTTACCGCTATTTCCAGGGACGCCGGAACTGGGGGGGCAGGGGGGGGGCGGCTGCCCCCCCCCCCTGCCTTTTGCTGGGGGGGGGCAGGGGGGACAGAAGTGCCCTTTTAGTTTTAAAATTTTATGTGATAAATCACATTTCCAACGAAGCTTTAATTTTGCAGGAAAAATATGAGATTCAGGCAATTTATAGTTAATATATGCCTTTTATTATGTCCGGAAAAAATTTTGGACCCCTAAAATGGTACACTGACCAAAATTTTTTTGGCGACAGGGGGGGGAAGGTCGCTTAAAAATTTCGATTGAAAAAAAAAAAATTTTTTCGGTATATTTTGAAGTTTAGCTCAGTATAGGTGCCCTTGGTGTGCGTCCGCCCCCCCTTTGCCTTATGATCGTTCCGGCGTCCCTGACTATTTCCATTGTTACTAGAAACTCGATAATAGAGACAACAATCACGACAGGGAAATCGGGCAAAACACTGCCAAACAAATTTTTAGGTACTTTACGTACTTTGATTGGCAGCAATAAAAATAGTGTTAATGGTTCGCACGCAAATATTCCTAATTTTAAAAACTGCACTAATTTTGCGAGATATAAACAGAACGAAAAATCTTGTACGGTGGCGCGCGATCGCCAATCGTGTCAGTTCTACTTGATTCACTTGATGTTAGCTTCTTTAGAGACACTTCCTAAAAATGCTGTAACTGCTAAAACGCTGCGAGTTGCTAATAAAGGGTGCCTTTTTATTTTTAACGGCATTTTCGGGTTTAAATTCGAATGAAAATATAAACTAATGAGAAAATAGCGACCGGAAGGAACAAACACTTGTCGATTTCAGTCACGCTATATGTCGAAAATACCCAATATTCACGGCCTCCGTACGAACTCTAAATACAATAACCCAAACTAATTTTTTTATATGTTCTACAAGAACATATAATTAGTTAATGGCGTAAGTTTCGATAAGAAAAAATCTGGGGCACTTAGTTAAAAAGGTTTTTGCGTGGCAACGGTAAATCGTAATTTTCACTATTTGTGAATACCATACGATTCTAAATATCAGCTGTCAGGTTTTAATTAATAGCTAAAATTATTATTTTATGCCAAATCAAGTCTCAAACATCTCTTCTATCGACTTACAAACGTATAGTTTTCATATCTTTTTCCCACTCTGCATGCGTTACTTGTTTTTGAACCTGTTTGATTCAACTAAAAATTTGCATATTTTTGAGGTCGCCGACAGCCGAACGGTTTTTCTCGGATTTCTCCGAATTTTAACGGTTTTTGAAAAATAAACCATATCAGGTTTGTTTACTTGCCAATGCCTTCCAGCAAACCAAAAATGAGCAAAATCTAAATTTTGAATGTGTCCGCGAATTCTCGATTTTGCCCCATTTTAGTGGACATCTGCTCTTAAACATTCCACTGGACATAAATCCTTATCTTCCTTGAATGCTGCATGAAAACTAGTTTTTGGTGAATCTGATGGTTTAGAGGTCTTTGACAAACCAGAGAGTGAAAGGATGAAAAATACGCCACCTCAAATCTCATTTAGCTAGGTCAGATGATCTATCTGGTGCTGTCAGGCCCAATAGTGTTACCAATTTGAAAGACAAATTTTTTAGGCTTAAATTTTCATTAGGCACAAGGGATTTTATGTAGCCCAACAGCTGAGAGACTTTCCATGTGTGCGAGTATTTTGGTTGAGGAGGTCGTAAATTAAATATCCCCCTCAATAGTTGGGAAACTAGTGGATGAGAGACAACTTTCCAGGAATCAATAAGTGGTAACACTGCAGATAAGGCAGAGCGATAAACATTAATTGATCTATATGCTTTGCCCTCCTTATATTGTCCTGTAAGAAACTCTAGGACAGATTCTATAGATGTTGAAAGTGGATTAATTTTTCGTTGATTACACCAGCTAACCCACTTACTCCAGGCAGAGGCATAGGCACTACTGGTGTTTTGTCTCCAGGCCGCCAACAAAACGTTTCGAGTCTCTTCTGAAACGTTTGCTGTTTCATGGGATTTGCCGACAGCTTCCACCCAGCTAATTGGAGATTGTTTAGGGGGTGCGACTGTTCTCCCTTCATCAGAAGTTGAGGAGACATCGGAAATAGTAGTGGAAGATCCACACACAGTTGCAGTAGCAATGGGTACCAAGGCTGAGTTGGCCATACCGATGCTACTAGAACTAACTGATCCACTTTCTGGGACCTGACCTGCAGTACACAACGACCTATCAGGGCAAATGGGGGAAAGGCGTACCCCCGAATTTCGTTCCAATTCACAGAAAATGCATCCACATAAGTTGCCATTGGATCGGGTTTCCAACTGGCAAATTTGGGCAGTTGGTGTGTTAGCCTGGATGCAAAAAGATCTACCTCGAAAGGGCCCCACCTGTTGAACAGGGCTTGAAAAACTGACAGGTTCAGTTTCCAGTCGCTGGAATCCTGTATCACTCTCGACTCGTGGTCTGCCCTTACATTCAAGTACCCGGGGAGATGTCGAGGTGACACCATCATATTATTCTGAAAGCACCATTCCCACAGATCTATCGCTAATTCCGCTAGACCCTGGGAATGAGTGCCCCCCATCTTGTTTATGTAAGCAACTGCTGATGCATTGTCTATCAGCAGTTTTACATGAGCACAGGCTCTGGATTTGGTGAATGTTTTGATTGCCAAAGAACCTGCAAGGAGTTCAAGACAGTTGATGTGAAGTCTCTTTTCTTCGAAGGACCAAGGACCCCCTGTCCTCACCCCCTCGCAATATGCTCCTCACCTCTTCCGAGAGGCATCCGTCTCGATTATAAGCTCGACAGGATCCTGAAACAAAGCCCGGCCATTCCATGCATGGAGATGGTCTCTCCACCAAAGAATCTCTTCTCTTGCTGGCTGGTCTAAAGCAACCTGGGCTTCGTAGGTTTGAAGGGAGGAATGAATAGGAACAGGGAATATTGCCTGAATGGAGGAGGTTAGGAGGCCCAGGAATTTCGACAATTCTCGTACCGAAATTGTCGTTTGATCTAACAATTTCTGACACTTTCTGCGGATTTTTCGCAACTTTTCTCCTGGAAGTTGGAGTATCATGGCGTTTGAATCTATCAAAAACCCCAGAAATTCCATCTCTTGGCAAGGCAAGAGTTGTGATTTCTGGTAATTTACTATGAAGCCTAGCCCCTCTAGGAGATTCAGGGTTAAGGCTGCATGATGTGATGCTAGATCGTGAGATTCGGCCATGATTAGGATATCGTCTAAATATATAATTAGGCGAATACCTCTTTGCCTCAATGCCCCTACTACCGGCTTCATAAGCTTGGTAAAAACCCTTGGTGCTGTCGCCAAACCGAAAGGAAGGCATGCAAACTCCAGCATGGTGTCCTTCCAAAGAAACCGAAGATATTTTTGGTGGTTTTTCCAAATTGGCACTGTCAGGTAAGCATCCTTGAGGTCGATTTTCACGAGAAAATCTCCCTTCTTTAATAGATCCCTTAACATGTGGATGCCCTCCATCTTGAAATGCTTGTAGCCTAGAAACTGGTTCAGGGGTTTTAGATTTACTACTGGACAATTCCCCCATCTTTCTTGGGTACCACAAAGATAGAACTTATAAATCCTGCCTTTGGGGATTGTACTGGATGAATTGCCTGCTTCATCAACAATTCTTTTACCTCTTGCTCCAACACAGTCTCTTGTGTTGAAGAAAGCTTCGGTACATTGGGTAATGACTGTTGCACTGGAGGAGTTACAAGTTCTATCTGGTAACCCTGGATGACCTGCAGGATCCAAGGGTCCTGTGTGATCATTTCCCATGCGGGGGTGAAAAACTTTAAGCGCCCCGTTTGAGGTATATTTTGAGTCAAATTGCCCTGAAAAAGTTCTGAAAACATACCTTTGGGTAAACAGTCTGGTCTGAATTTCTTTATTGGTGGAATGACTTGTAAGTCTGGGGATTTGTAAATCTTGGAAATGAGCCACGGCCTCGGTTTCTGTTCCCCCTGTTGAACATGGTCCCTCTGGGACTGAACAGGCGAAAGGTCTTGAAGTTGAATCCTTGTCGGCCCCCATGAGGTCTGTGGAATCCCCTGAAGGCCGCCCCACAAAAAAAGGGGTTGCCTGCTCGAGATGCTTTCCCGATAGTCTCTGCAGTCTCAGATCTTGTTTTGAGCCGTTGTTCAAAACCTGATCCAAACAAATTTGAGAGAACTCTTCTTGAGCTAACGACACCATTAGGGGGTTTATTTTTTTCAATACAAGTTCCCGACGATTTGTGGAAATTCAAGCAACTACATCTCCAGTTAACAGCAATGCATGTTTGAGACACTCCTGGAAGCTACGGACACCAGTAGCATCCAGTTCAACCACCCCATCAGATGTCATGGTGCTTTCCATGGATAACAAATTTTCATATGCTGTACACAGAGGACCAAATACATCTAGAACACTATCCTGTAAATCTTTATGTGGTTTATCAGGTGTTGCTACTCCTTGGATGAAAGGCTTTAAGTATTCATCCATCGCTGGCGTGTACACAGCGTCCACGTTTGGTCTTGGGTAAGTTTTGACCAAGGTTTTTCTCTCAAATTTATTTAACCGTTTTACAGCTGTTTCGAGAAACTGCGATAAAGTCGCACTAGCTTCCCATCGAGAGTTTGGAGAGAGAATGTTCTCTGTTTCTAACTCCTCCAACTCATAATTAACATCATCGTCAAAATTGACATTGTCCGAGGTTCGAACTCGCTTGGCTGGCACATGGTCATCATCGTCGTCTAGCCGTATTACAGGCATACGCCCTCGCTTAGTAGCTGTACCCGACCTATCGTATGATACGGTGGGATTTGATTGCTCTTTTGAACCCGTTTGATCGTATGATACTCCGGGAAGAGTCTGATTTTGTGTACCCGTTTGATCTTGAGATACTCCAGGATTTTGAACATCTGCTTGGCCTTGAAGCACTGCAGAGTTTTGCTTTAACAATTGCGGAGCCATTTGTGCCATAATCGCTGAAGAAAGTTTTGCAATAAAACCTTGATCAGCCACTACGGCCTGAACAAGGTCCATCCTACCTTCCATTGAGTCTTCACGCGTCGATGGATCAGGATTAACAACATTTTCCAATTCTGAAATATTTTCTTGCTCCGCCATGCTTGAGGAGTGAACAAAAAAGATGAACAGAGGGCGCAGGTCAGCGGTGATGTGAGGATGGACTGAGAACGTTATTTTGTTATGGTTATAGTTTATATACTTTAAATTCACTGTAAATACGTTAAAAAGGAGTGAATAATAAAGATAATGCATTGTTAAATTGAGTTGAGTATCTCGAAATATAATTGGGTTTTCCACTGAAAGGTGACTTCAAATTGCTTCATCTATATTTATAAGGTAACAGGGCAACATAGATTATGTTTTTTTATTATTTATTACCTTTCAATTTGTTTTACTCTAGATTTGAAGCTTTCAATTCAGTGATACGGCAAATGAATATTTATTCTAACCGACAAGCTTGCCGCAAAGATATTGCCCAGACGTTTGCCAAACACAAACTTCTTCAATTCATTTTGAATGGTGGTGGTTGTTGGGGCGAAGGGTATAGGTAATATATTAAAGTAGAATTTACAGAAGTGAACAAAATTAATTAAAAAATAAACTTGTCACATGGTCAAAAATTTTGAGCCTGCACAGTAAATACAAGATTGAATGAACAATGCTTTGCTGCATGCATGCCCGCATTGTTCATATAAGTTGTCACAATTATATTATAAACAACGTTGTTTTCAAGCCTGAACCAGGTGTAACAATGCTGAAAAAAATTGTTGATAAATATGAACAACGTGGGCAGCACAAATTTGTTCAATCCTGATTTTATCAACAATACAATTTGACAATTTTTGCTAACAAACTAATATGCTAACAGGCAAAGTGCATCTGAACACTTACAGCAACTCGGCAGGAACAACAAACTGGTGAAGTTCATGTATGAAGATTGTGTTAAAACAAACAGTGATAGAGAGATTTACCAACCTGGATCACCTAGACTGGTATGAATTAATATTAGATAGATTTAAAATATTGTTTAGTATTACCCATTAAAAATCAATTGACTCGACAGGTAATGAACATGTAGCAATATTACAGTATACCACCCACACATACCTACGGTTTTCCTTTTATATTGTTAGGGGAAATATGCAAATGGTCGTCTGCAAACGTTTGAAGTTGGCTCGTTGTTGTTGAAAGCTGCTATTGAGAGAGACATGGTTGGCAGTCTAGAGGAAAAATGCCATTATTATCAGGGCTGCATCTCCAGTAATAAAGAGCTGATACGAATGGGTCAAGGCATATCATATCAGGATAAGAATGGACAAGTAAAGTTAAGGTTGCAGAACTCATCAGCACTATCACAAATAATCCTTTTTCATGAATAGAAGATCTTGGATCAACTGGATGATCTTTCATTTTTCTAAAACAGACAGTGGTAAAGATTCCCTACTTTATCAATTTGAAAAAAATAGATATACAGCACCTTTTCCCCCAACATTTTTTTTATAGATGTGTGTTGGTCTATTTGATGGTGCAGTGAAAATGTCGAATGTCAGCAGGGATAATAAAACCATGGTGCAAGTTATCTGCTTCAGAATTTCCACTGATGACAATGGAGATATTCAATATGGTTGCTTTCAATGTCCAGTCCTTGTAAAGACAACCTATAAAGAAATAATACCATCAAGTTCTGTGAAGCAGCGCGTCCATCTTGTGCATGACTGTTTATCCAGAGAATGTGGTTTCGAGGAATCAAATCATGATGTGGTCGAAGAACGAGAAGTGATTCAGCATTATTCCTTAACCACTACACACAATTTGACAAACAACCGGTATCTCTTCAACAGATTCTTCATAAGTTGTAACAATGTTTTCTGATAAATGATCATTGACTTTACTCCTCTAAAAAGCACACATTCAATTTAATACAGTAATGTATGCTTTTGTCAAATCGAATATCAAATAAGCCAAGGATCATCTGTCCATCCAGCAAAGGTCAAAGTAAAAAATTATATCCAGTGCTGAACCTTGACAATTTAAAATTATGCAATACAGTTTGATAATTTGAAATTTATAATTTTACAAGTAAAATTATATAAGTAAAATTGAGGTGAACTTATATATACGATATATTTGTTTGTGTTCGACCGTAGAATGATATTTTTTACTTTGCATTAATACATGCAATTATGATGATGTAATGGACAATCTAAAGGTGCGTGTATAAAACTACAAACACTATACGTTTTAATCGTTGAAATAGTGAAGTATATTTCATGGGTTCCAGTATATATTAGCAATGTTTTTGCCTTTATTGTAATTTCATATGTAAAATTGTATTATGACCAGTTACATACGATAAATAAAATGATCTAAAGTACTTTGAAGCGAGTGTTTTTTTGCTTCTGAATTCTGTTGTGTGAAAACACGTGGGAATAACACGTGTTTAATCGCTGGTTGTCATGTCTTTTATCATCGCCATTGCTGCAGCTCTGTCGACATCAAATTGCAGCAAGTCTGTTGTCATGGCCTTGCGACGGGTCTGTCGACATCAAATTGCAGCAAGTCTGTTGTCATCGCCATTGCGACAGGTCTGTTAACGACAATTTGCAGCAAGTCTGTTGTCATCGCCATTGCGACAGGTCTGTTAACATCAAATTGCAGCAGCAAGTCTGTTGTCGTGCTGATGCGAGCAAGTATCGTCAAGCCGCAACAAGCCGAGCGAACGCATCTGATCTGGGGCTTGGTGGCAACAATTCGCATGCAGCCTGATGACAGACTTGCTACAAGTTGCGCGAACTTGGCTGTGTATGATATATGTAATGATAAGGGAGCATTCATTTTTTAGCTGGGGGGGGCCGGAGGAACTGATGTCTAAGTCCATGAGAAAACTTGGAACCCCCAAGACAAAAGTTGATAAAAAATTATGACCCCCTATTTTTTTTACTGAACATTTTTTGACCCCTCATCCTAACTATTAATCCACACAGTGTCGTTTCCATAGCGTTTCAGGGCCGTAGGAAGCTCTTTTTGATTGGGGGGGGGGCTGAAAGCGAGGGCTGAAGGTCATCCTACATCGATCAATACCATCAACATCCACTGGCATACGACATCGATCAATACCATCCACATCCACTGGTGCCGGCTTCACTGAAGCAGCCCGAAGAGATTTCAGGTATTGTGTGTTTGGAAAATGTTTAAATATGTATTTTGTAACCCACCTCTGGCCACCGTACGAACTGTTCCACTCGAAGTTAACCTGTGGATAAACTGTATTTATTGTAATGTAAATTATTACACTTCATAATAATACAGTCTGCAGGGCCGTGCCACCTGGGGTAACACCCCAAAAAAAAGTTTAAAAAGGGGCCCAACTTGCTGGAATTGCAAAATTTTTAAAAAATGAAGGATTTGTTTGCTAAATTTTGGAAATTTCAGGAAAATGTTGTTTTGCAAAAGATTTTGGGAACTTTTGTTTTCAATAACATAACATCGACCTCTCTTCCCCACCCCCCGTCGCCAACTTTCTCCGAAAAAATTTTTGTTTTCCGGAAAATTTTTTGGGGGGCCCTGCCTGGAATGGAAGGGGGCCCAAATTTTGGAATACACCCCCCCAAACCAGAAACCGGTTGGCACGGCCCTGCCAGTCTGTACACAGGCAGGCTAACTGCCTATCACCACTTGAAGTCGATACAATGTTACATGTTTTTTTTAAACAAACAAAAACTGCTTTACCAGGCTTGTAAAGAGTACAACGATTTGAACTATACTGCTAGATCCGTTGAACAATTAGGAAACTTTAGGAATGAACTTCTCAAATCTCTATCTTTATAATACTCATACAGTATATTTAGATATAACTTACTAACGCTTTGTATCCTTGTAAATATGTATAGCATCATGTATCCTATAGTCTCATAATTTTTCTGGTATATAATATATATCCATATATACCAATATGTAAATACTGCATGCACACTATATATATTTTCTATACTTTGTATTTTAATGTTTTGCAGGAACCATCTGAAAAACACTTCTTGTGATGTTGGTTTCCTGAATAAATATTATTATCATTCATTCAATATTTTTTTAAAGTATAACTTTTTCATTTTATCCCATATTTAAAACATGTCAAATGAATATCAATATCTGTAGTGTGGTGTATTTTCGACTTTTCACAAATGAGAAATCGCCAGAAAATTAGGCAATTCAATTGTATACAATTTAATTGTATACAATTTAATGTATGTTGAAATGTCATTACAGTAAACTGCTAATGTGCTAAGTTGAATCGGGGATGGATTTACTGGGGTGCACCCCCCTAGCCCTGGCCAGAGGGGGTGCAGGGGAGTGCTATTTTTTATGATAAAGCAAAAAATTATTAGAGACAAAATGAGTAATTTGAGTAATGACATGATGATAAGCGAACTGTGAACAACAATTACAATTCAAATACTGTAGTCAAGCAAGACTTTGCAGTAGTGAGGCAAGTTGATGGTCGGGCGGCACACATGACCGACGAAAGACTTGGACTCATGACTTTTGTCTCTTGTCTAACCCCAGTTGCAATGTTACTCCTTCAATAAGTCAATTGACAAAATTGAAAGATGCAGGTTTGGGGAGGAAAAGGATCACTTTTCCTGACAAAAAGGCATCATTTATGAAATTTAAGTCCAGCCTTGAGGAAAAATATCCTAAGTTGAAAGATCAGGACGGAGCATTTGAGATAATGCGAGCCCAGGGGGTGGTAACTCAAGGCCACTCCATCTCATTCAAATGCCATCTGAAGGATACAACATACCATATTTAAGAGAAGTGATTGGTACAACCACATTGCTATATATTAGACCAATCAATTAGTGTGTGATATCCACAGAAAAGTCGGATGTGGAAGCAACATCAACCTTGCTGACAACTGAATGTAGTGGTTGCCAAGAGCGGATGCCAATCTCAAGCTTGCGCCAGCATAAGTTTGAATGTAAATCAATGGTCTGCAACTCTGATGATAGTGACGATGAAATTAATATGCATAAAGAGGACACCAAATCCAGTACTGCATCAAAATTTCATGAGGAGAAGAAAAACTCACAACATGATGAAGTTATCTCAATTCTCAATGATGGTGAAGGCACTTCTAAACAAACATAGTCAAGTCAGCTTAAGCATGTATTCCCTGATTCAGAAATGGAAGAGCTGGAAGAAGTATCCTTACAATCTGCATCATTAGATGAAGCTGCTGAGCTTATGTTAAACAAACTTGGTAATGATGAAGATGAAGCTACGTCAATAGAAGATCTTGTTGAAACGTTTGCCAAGAGAAATTCATTAGAAAGTGGTGAAGACGAATTTGTAATTGTTGACCGAGAGTCGTTTTGGATTGATGTCATAAGGTTTTATAAAAAAGCAATTGGAAAACCAGAAGTTTTAAAAAGAGAGTTGTCTGTGTCATTCAAGAACGAAGATGGTTTGGATGGTGGTGCAATGAAAACTGAGTTTTTTCCGCTTGCTTTACAAGAAGTAAAAAACAGATTATTTGAAGGAAACGAGGCTAACTTGATTCCAATTAAAGATGCAACAAAGTGTTTGCTTTTTGAACTTGCAGGAATGATTATTAGTCATTCACTTTCACAACAAGCGTCTATTGGTTTCCCTGTTCGTGCACCCTATGTCTATGCATACATGGTCGGTGCAGATGAAGATGAGGTATGCTTGCTATTGTTACAGCAAATAAATCAATAATCAAAGTTTCAAGTTGAATATTGCCTATATCCAACTTAAATGTTTAAGGCTTAAATTTTCTTCGTAACCGAGAATCCTTGTTCTTTGCAAGGTATTGATATTGTAATATGCATGCTATTCTTACGGACTGTTTAGTTGTTATTTTGTTGGTTGTTGATATATTGAGGTTATACTCTTATCAAAAAACCCTTTCCCTTCAATGCATATTGCCATGCTATTTATAGCCCAGTAGAGTTACGAAACCTACTTGTATTTATCTTAATTAATCTGCTGGGTAAAAAATCCCTAATAAGAATAACATTTACAGTATCTGATGTCGGTTTCCTGTGGTAAAACCACTTTTGTTGTTTGCAGTAACCAGTGAGCAGCCTCCCCTGATTTAAATTATTTTAATAAATATATGGTATTGAACAGGAAGGGTCAAGGGTTTATTAAGGGTTTTCAATATAATAAACTTTAGATTAATTTTACAGACAACTATATTCTATAGTATGTTTAGAACATAAGTACAGTAGCTCCTAGAACTATCATTTCCAAGTTTTACTTAATTAATTTAAAAGTTTATGTTGGTTAGGGAAGCCTCACATATCGATTTTTTCCACGAGAAACGTCATATGTTTGTTTGGGGGTTGCAGCTGTGACGTTTCTCTGTAAACATCATGGAAAAATTCGATAGTTTTTTCGAAAGCCTTAACATTTCAGAATCATCTTTGCAGAATATAAAAAGAAAACAACTCGATACAAACAACATGCAGTCTATACATTCGTAATACCATACCTGTTCTATACGTATATACATTTATATCTATATAATTTGGAAAAAAACGCGCTAAAATTATCAATATTTCATGCAAAAAAAGTTGTTTTGAGAAATGTTGGAAAGTTTGAAGTTCATATATATTAAATAAGAAAGATCTGTCAGCAGAAGATGACACATTCCTTGCAGAAGCTTCGCCAGTAGCCGACCATAGAAAATTACTTTATTGTGTACTATAAGAACGACATATCAATAACTATGTGTGACATTTCTAAGGGGGTGGGGGGTCTCCAGAGAAACGAACATATGATGTTTGTCATGGACAAAATCGGTATGTGAGGCTTGCCTTACTGTCTGGCCAATTAATATTCAGCCATTGATCTATCTATTCTGCTTGGAAGTCATGTCTCATCAGTATTCTATTGGGCAGAAGTTAGTACTTGCTGTGGTGGGTGAGTATTTAACTACCTGAAAGAGTAAGCAGAAACTCAACGTTTCGAGCGTTGGCCCTTTGTCAATACTTGGCTACGACCTCTTGACGACAGGCCTTCACTCGCAACGTTGAATTTCTGCTTATTATTTGGACCAAGAACTTGTTCGCAATTACTGCTAATCTTGTTGTTGGTGTTGTTTTTGTTGACATTCTTCGAAAAAGCCTAAAGATGTAATTCCACTGTCGCGTTTTTCTTACGTGCGTATACGCATATTTAAAAGTTGTTTATATTATAAAGTAATTAAGTGAATAAAATGATTTAGTTTATAAAATTTAAAAAGATTTAAAATTTTACGTGCGTATATGTATGTAAGAAAAACGCGACAGTGGAATTCCAGCCTAATTAAGCTCCTTCATTTTTAAAAACGTGTTTTAAAAATATGCCTTGCCGAACCAATATTAACTCTTTCTCGACATGTGACATTTTTCACGGCAAGCAATATTTTGATTCAACTGTTTTATAACGTAAATATTTCAGTGCGTATTCACCCCCCTTAAAAACAAAGAACACCATTGAAATCTTAACAAAATAAGCTTTTCATCGGGGGGTCTAATGCCGTCAAAACAAATACACAAACCGAAACAATCATATATTTACTCACCGCTTGGCCAAACATTCTGTATTTTCATATGGAGAAAAAGTTGAATATCTTCTAAACTCTTCAGTATTCGCCGCAAGTTAATGTTAGTGAAATATTCCTTGTATTCAAGCGCTTTTATGTAGAAAGTTTCGTTTGAATACGGCGAGTAGAAATGTTTATTTTGTTTTTTTCAAAATATCGGGTTTCATCGGGTTTTTACTCGCACGCACGTGCTGCATGTAAAATTGGCCAATAAGGGGTCTCCCGTAGCCCAGTGCACGTGAAAAGCACGCTTCAGATGTAATTTGACCTTTAGAATCGATTTCCGATGTTTTCCGAACGCTAGGATGTAAACACGCGATGTTTTGGCAGATCTAAAATGTATTTCCGGTTAAAAATATCCCGCTGATTTCATTAGTTTCGCAACAGATTGAAATACCGAAATAAAAGACGAAAAACTAAGGCTACAAGCTTGAAAATAACACTTTCAATAGTGTTTTTGATTCTGTTTCGAATAAGACTATAGCGAAAACGATATCTCAAAAGGGGCCGAAGTTATGTTCGGCAAAAGGTATTGATAGTTTACATTGTTCGAGACAATTGATTAATATAATGAAATATGACACCGCTTGACCTGTCGAAAGGTCATAAATTGTTATACAATTTCACTAAAATTATATTTGACTAAAACTATCGACAGGTATTAGGAGATATTGTTTCACTGAATCGAATGGTGGTATTTTCATCTACATAGCATGCACCCAACTGACGATATGACCCTGCAAAGTCGTAAATCATGAGTGATTTATTTAATAGGGACCTGTCGGGAAAGAGTTAAGGGTTTAAATTAGTTTAAATTAGTAAATTAGCTAAGGTTTAAATTAGTAAATTAGCAAACCTTTAAGTTATAAAACGATGGATGAACATGGTGGTCAACAAAGTGATGATTTACATGTCATACCAACTCAGCCAGTTCCTGGTCCCAGACTCAGTAGTACGATGATACAATCATACTTGTTTAGGTAGTAAATACCCACCCACTGTGGTGGGAAGTTTACATTGGTACGACCTACACTTGCACAGACGGTTCATAGTTATTTATTAGCTGTTCTCAAAACGTGCTATTCCGTAATACAAGAGAGTGTTTACATGAGCCTTTGCTACAGGGTGGGGTGTCTACCTGAGAGGAGAACAATCATAAAAAGTATTGTTGCAATTTTAGCTTACACTTAGGGCTAGATCGGGTACATCTACACACATCAGCCCTAAAAAAGGACCTGTCCTTCTTGTAGGGCTTCTATAGGCACTCCCTAATTTGGTCTAGTATAATTCAGTAGGTACCAAACTTGGTATAATATTGCTACTCTATCTCCAACATATTCTCAACAAGCTGAACTGTTCTGCAATAAATGTCTATTCCATATGATACCTGGGTTTATAATATAGCATTTGTAAATTCTGAACGCTGATTGGCTAAGAGCCATGTTGATATAACTCCATGTCAACACGGGAAATTTTCCGCCGCTTGTAAACACGGAAATTTTTCTTATTCTTCG